CTCTCTCTCTCTCTCTCTATCTATCTATCTATCTCTCTCTCTCGCATTGTATGTATCGCCCAATTTATAACCAAAATAAGGACTTTTTATTTTAACTATTTTTCATTTTTTTCACAACAGGAAGAGTAAAAGTGTTGCAAATTGTCTTAACATTTATATACCGTATATTTCGGCAATATTAACACTCTTTATAAGAAACTAACAAACATTTTACAATACAAATTAATTAACAATGTTTATTTAACATTAATGTATTAAATCTAATTAATATAATTGCGGCGATTTTTAACAAAATCCTCAATAAGTTGCGACACTTTCGCCAAACTATTATCGGTTTGTATTCTTCGGGAGAGAGAGAGAGCTATTTAATAAAATTTTGATATATTTTTCTTTGTTTTTCTGTAATTATCAGTGAATGAGAAGACGTGAAGAAAAATAATATTTTTTGTTTCGTTTGTCTTTTAGTATTATTATTGAATATTATTTAAGATAGAAAATGAGATTTTTTTTGGTATTGTGTTGTTTTGAATGTGATTTTTGTATTAAAATCTGAATGTAATGCTAATGAATAGCTAGAAAATTATATATTTAGCTTATTTAGTATAATTTTATATATTTAATAGATTTAAAATAATAATTTTTTGATAATTGTTTTATTATTTGTAATGAATTTTTTACAATCAATTTTTGCATTAATATTATTTAGTCTCTTAAATAATGGTCTTATCAATAGTTTGCGATTCACTTAACATTTTGTTTATTTCAATTCACACGACAAATAAGGTGATTGTTAACTATAAAACTTCTAATCATTTTATTATTGTATTTTCAATAACATTAGTACTATTACTTAATTGTATGTGGCACATGAGTTATATTAACTGAATTACTTATCATTTTTTGGTTAATTTTGTTGTTTATTTAGGTAATTTATAAAATGCAAAATAACTAGTCTAGACGTTATAGTAAACATAATAAAATCTAACCATGATGAAGTGGTTTAGAACATTAAGGATGACGGGCATAATTTAATCCATCCTGCAAATAGTGTACAGGACATTTAGCACAGCTTTTATTGTAGTTAAGCTGTACTTTGCGGGCATTATTGTATGACCAGTATATAAGTGGCGAACAATTATACTTATAATTCATAGCAACTTTATAAACACATTAAAAAAAGTTTTGTTGTATTCATTAATAGAATAAAATATTTTTAGTGTTTTTTTTAGTCAATATGTTTATGTTTCTTATAATTCATTGGATTTATTCAAATGCATTGATTTTGTTAATGTTTTTATTAACATGTTTTGTGTTAAAGCAAGTATATTGTGAATATGAAATGCGTAAAAAGTTACCCCCGGGTCCTATTGGGCTACCATTTGTCGGTTATTTACCCTTTCTTAAGGGCGAGCCCTCCAAAGAGTTCGTACAAATAGCCAAAAAATATGGACCAGTTTTTGGGTATGTTTTTAAACATAGATTTTTAATATGTAAAAATTAATCATGATAACATTTAATTTATATTTAATTGCAGCATTCAATTGGGTTCGTGTCCAGTAGTGGTACTAAACGACTGGCCGTCAATCAAAGAGGCCTTAACTCACGAATCGGCATTAGCCCGGCCTAAGGATAGTTTACTAACCGCTTTACTTCCACCGGGTATTTGAACATTAATATTTATATTAAACTAGTGTTGCCAAATAATATTTTGAAAATCCTTTATAAATGCGATAAAATTGCCAAAAATTCCTGTATTTTCCTGCATAATACAGGAAAATTTCTGCATGTTTGGCAACGCTAATAATTAAACATTTACAATAAATTATCATATTTTTGTGACAGGATTCACAACAATGAGTGGTGACGTATGGAAAGCTCAGCGACGGTTCGCTTCGCGTCAATTGAGAAATGTCGGGTTCGGGCGGACATCGATGGCCGACCACATCATCGATGAGATCAATCACTTGTCCAAAGAGATCGACACCAGCGTTGGCCAGGCGTGCGATTTGCAGACACTTTTGCCGATTAGTGTCTCAAACAATATAAATTCGCTGACATTCGGGCGACGTTTCGATTATACGGACACCAGAAAGAAGATGTTCGACGAGTTCTTAAAGCCCGACCCGAACTTCAATTTGGCGGGAATTTTGCAATTTTTCCCCAAATTGGGCGCATTTGTGGTCACAAACATGAGATTTCTATTGCCATCGTCTCTGAGAACCTGTAAAGTAATAGTCGAAGAGATCCGCAAAATTATCAAGTATGTACCATGCTCAAACAGATTGCGCTAGATTACTATAATTTAAGCTATTATATTTAATTAACATATTATAGTGAGAGCAAGTTGTAGTTCTCAATGAATGGTTGACTCGGTTTTGATGTATTCAAAAGCGTTTATTAATAATTAAATTAAAAAGCGTTTTACAATCGAGTCGTGATTTAGTTAATGATTAAACGTGTCGTCTATGAGACGGACAGTGACTGACTCCATGGAGTGAATGGTGAATGAGAGACAAAGGGTGGAAAGGGATGTGAGAGTGTGAGTGAGTGTGCGGTGCGAGCGCTATCTTTGTCTCAATAGTTTATAAAGTAATATTTTGCAACCAATTCATTTAGGACTGAATACGTTAATCACAAACAAACACTTGATCAAAATAATCACCGTGATTATTTCGACGCGTTTATTACCGAAATGCAAAAGTCGTCGAATGGAGAGAATACTACTTTTAATTGTAATTTGAAATTAAATTATTGATAAATATTAATAGTTTTTTAAATAAACTAGATGAAATGTTAGAAGGGAATACCATACTGCTATTTGGGGCCGGTTCTGGTACAGTGTTGATTACCCTGGAGTGGTCGCTCTTGATTTTAGCCGCTTATCCAACAATACAACAACAGATTCACAAAGAGATCGATGAAGTGATTGGCAGAGAAAGGAGTCCTAACTTAGCGGACAGAAACTAAATGCCATTTTTGCAGGCATTCATGTATGAAGTTTGGAGATTTAGGACAGTCACAGCGCTTAATCTACCACGATAGTAAATTTACATCTCCCTCTCTCTCTCTCTAATTATATAATAATTTGTGATAACTTTCAGTGCGTCTAAAGATATGGTAATCTCAGGATTCAAAATACCAAAAGACACTCACATTATGGCCAACTTCTGGGCCATTGATAACGACCCAAACCTATGGGAAAATCCATCGGAATTCAGACCCCAAAGGTTTCTCAGCGAAGATCTCAAGACATTCAAAAAACTCGAGCATTTGATCCCATTTTCCTACGGTTTGTATAGATTTTAATCCAAATAATAATAAAATAGTGATATCTATAACAATGTTGTAATGTTTGTGTCCATTAGGGAAGAGGTCGTGTCCGGGAGAGGGCTTAGGAGTTGTCGAAGTGTTTCTATACCTGAGTTCTTTGCTTCAGAAATACGACATCAAAGCTAACCATAAAACCGATCAAAAGCTTGAATACGAGTTTCATTTCTCAATCACTGCTAAACACAATCCTGTTTTCAATATCACTAAAAGAGTAAATTAAATAACTTAATAATTAATACAAATTGTAATTTAAATAATTATTTTATTTGATTTAAAAAGTTTTAAGTTTACAAATTATTGTTATACTTATACTTGTATGTATTATAATAACAATTAAATCGATTATTGCATTTTTAAAGCACTATTCACAAGCACAAATTAAATATACAATATGCAATTAATCATTAAAAATAGTTTAGTTTTAATAAGCAGCAAATTTAAGATTGCATTTACCAAAATCCAAAAGTAAAAAATTTTCCAACAATTTTTACTTTAATCCTATTTTACTTTACTTTATACTGGGTTTAACAATAAAATTACTTTATTATATCAAATAATTTCATGATGATTTATGCTAATGAGTCATACTAATGAGTTGATCCATATTTTTATAGCCAATTGAATTCCTATATGCTTTAGAATACTTTTCTAGATATTCGAGTTTACTTTTGTCTTCGTGTCATATAAAGAATGGAAACACGAATCGAGGCATTGATCACAAGCTTTGAGACAAACACACAGTATATGAGAGTTAAGTCTTAAGAGACAACTTTTTGTACACTTTATACTGTAGAGTAAAACATTGGACCTCAGACTCTCTCTCTCTCTCTCTCTCTCTCTCTCTCTCT